GCCGCCGCCGCCGCCGCTGGTGCACCTCCCGCTCCCCCCGCCCCCCGGGACGCTGCCGCCTCCTTTCCATAATGGACTTTCCACAATGCACCCTGGCGCCCTGGGGTGCCCTCTCTTCCCTCAGCCTTCCTCCCCGCCCTCCTTTACACCGACTTTTAAGCGAGCGGACAAGTGCACCCTTGAAAATATTTTTAAATTTTCCTTGAGACTGTTTACTCATGTATTATTTATAGGCTTAAAGTTTAATTTTGAAATATTTGGCACTTCTGCATTTTTCCTGTTACTGATTTCTACTTGATTCCATTATGGTCAGAGTACATCCTCAGTATGTTTTAAGATTTTGTAAAATCTGTTGAACTTTGTTTAATGGCTCAGAATATGGTGTTTTATGGAAGATGTTTCATTTGTACTCCAGAACAAATAGTGCTTTTCAGTTTTTTGTTTACTATTACTGATCTTATGCCCGCTTAATCTATCAATTACTGAGAAAGAAGACAATTTTGTCTCTGCAATTGTGATTTTATTTCTGCCAGTTTATGCTTCATGTATTTTGAAAGTCTTTTATTAGGTGCTACATATTTAAGATGGTTACATACTCTTTTTCTCATGTCTTTGACAATGAGCCCTTTAGTACTATATAATGTACCTTTTAATCCCAACCTTTTGTCTGAAGTTGTTTTGTCTTATTTATTTATTTTTGCGGTACCAGGGATAGAACTCTTGGCCTTACTTTGCCAGGCAGGTGCTTATGCCACCAAGCTATATCCCGGCCCTGTGTTTTGTCTAAAATTAATAAAACTATTACTGTTTTTTACTAGTATTTGCATAATATTTCTTTTTATAACCTGTAAATTTACAAATCTGCACAAGTCCTTTCCCATTGTGTACTTTTGATACCTTTGTTACAAATCAACTGATCATAAACAAATGCATGGATTTTCTTCCAGTCTCTCTGTTCCATTGGTCAGTGTGTGCATTTTTTTTACCTGTACCATGTTATTTTGATTACTATAGTTTTGTAATTATATTGAAATTAGGTAGTGTGATACATTTAGCTTTGTTCTTTTTAGACACGATGCTTTGAGGATTTGGGGTGTATCATACTTTAGATCTAGAATGTCCTCCAAAAGTCTCCTGTTCTGAGCTAGGGCTTTTGAAAGGTGACTGGCTTATGGTGGTGCTATATTCATCTAGCCCACTGACGAGTTCATAGCTGACTATGCTGTTTGGAAGTGGGGCTTGCTTGTAAGAAGCAGGTCACTGAAAGCATGTCTTGGAAGGGCATATTCTTTTCTCAGTTCCTCTCCTCATTCTCTGCTTCCTGGTAGCCATGTGGTGAACAGTTTTCCTCTACCTTATCATACAAGCCATAATAATGTTCTAAAAGTTGTATGTTCTCAGTAAAAATCATATGTTGAATTGTGAATTTTGATCTTTTTCTGGGTCAGCAATATGCAGTACAACAGTCTCTCACCAAACAAGACAATGGCTCACAGATTTCGGTCAGCTATATGATTATGAGAAGAAAGGATAATCTACCAGGCATGTCCAACCTGCAGCCCAGGTCTTATGTAAATCTGGAGAGCTGGAAATGGGGGACTCATAAGATCACACACTTTTATTGTTATTAAGTGATTTTTAGTGATATTTTTCATGACTCAGTAGCAGGGTGCTCAAGCAGATTGTTTGGGCAACAGCGGAAGGTTGTGTGGAAGAAGGGGCAGTGTGTGGCACTCTATTGTTAACTCTGTCTCTTGCACCTGCCACACAGTCAGTGAAATCAAAACCTACATATATCAGACATTATATGAACTTATGCCATTTAGTGGATATATGTTATAATAAAATACAGCAAAATAAAGTTCTACTTATATACATTAACTGAATTATATAAATTATATGTGGCTCAAGGTAATACCTCCTTACTCAGTGTGACCCAGGCAAGCCAAAAGTGTAGAAATGCATGTTCTACAGTGTACTAGTTGATTAGGCTATAATGCATGGCCAATTAGGTATATTAAGTGTATTTTCAGCTAACGATGTGTTTATCAAGATGTAACTCTATTATTATAAGTCAAGGAATATCTAAAGGGTTATTGTAGATGTAATTAAATGAAAATGAAGTTACAATGTATTAGGGTAGGCTCTAAATCCAATAAATGATCTTAATAAGGAGAAAAATCTGAAGACACAGGGGAGACAATGTGGAGAAGGAAGAAATCGAAGGGAATGGATCTAAAGCTATGCCAAGATCTGTTAGCAACCAAGAAGAAAGGAGAAAAAAAGATTTTCTCCTAGAGTAGTAATGGTGAACATTTTAGAACTTTCATGATACAAACAGCCCACTGTAGCACACATGCCGTAGGTTCCCCATCACTGTCCTAGAGGCTTTGAGGGGGTGTAGTCCTGTCAATACCTTGATTTCACACTTCTATCCCCCCAGAACAGTAAGAGAAAACATTCCTTTTATTTCAAGACATTTAGTTCATGTGAATTGTTGCAGAAGATCTGGGACTCTCATATGCAGTATAGCTGCCCCTACCCCCTACTTAATAATTTCTGTGGTTGTGAACTGTCTAGTGTATGCCTTTGAAACCTTCTCCCTTGTATGCTGAGATTTTGTTTTTGCTTTCTTTTTGTGTTAAATGATACAGGGAAATGGAATTTGACTGGAACAAGGTAGAGTTCCCCACCCTAGTTGGGTTGGAATTTCAATGTTGCCTTGTGCTATTTTTGTCTTTCTTAGAACTTTCAGTATCAACTTGGAAATAAATAGTTAGAAGTTCTCTGAACTCAATAGGAAATAGTCTCAGCACACACAAAAGTATTTGTAATTGAACAATAAAATGAACAGTAAAATTAACACTACTGAACTGTATGTTTACATGTTGAAGATAATAAATTTTACATTTTTACCATAATTTAAAAACATATCTGTCTCAACACATCTCTTACCAAAGTGATCTTCATGTTGCTGCCAAGCACAATTCAGGGATTTGGAGGATGTATGATGCCAATGGATGGGTAGTGAAAATAAGCTTTTGAAGTTGGGCTGTTGAAAGGTTTCATGTGTGACTCCTCCCTTCAGCAAGTGCCGGATCTGGCTTTGCAGATGGGACAACCTGTGGCACCACATCCTAGAAAACTGGGCAGTAAGAAAAGAGAGTAACAATAATAAAGTAACTTCCATGAGGTCATAGCAATAATACTATGGATATAACTACAGAAAAATTAGATTTAACTAATTCAACTAGAGAAGATTAGACAAAGGAGAACTTCCAAAAAGCAGAGTATGTTGAAAGGAATTAATTTAGCTTAATATCAAGAATCAACAAATGAGATTATAATAAATTAGAAAGCTATGCAACTGCAGAAAATCTGAGTAATTCTTGATGTGAACCTATTTAATGACCCAATGAACATGCAGTAAGGTAACTAAATTAAAAAATTCCAATTTTGAGTGGATTTATGGTACATGTATGTGTGTATGCTGATGAAGGTAGAGGATTTCATGTTGATGTGGGATAAGACCAATCCACATACACAGAAGTCATGAGACTTAATAGAATTTACTGATGATTTGGGAGCATGCTGAAATAATGATTAATAAAATTGAGTACTCATATTAAACTTACTGAGATTTTGTTGAGGAGACAATAGAAAAGCCCCTAATGAAATCTGGATTGCATTTCTTTTCTTCACTGATTCTTGTTACTTAACCTCCAACCTATATGTATTACCTAAGACGGGGGCTAGGAAACTAGGGCTCATGATTTAAAAATGGATTCTACAATGGATTCTTGTAAATAAAAAAAATGTAAGATCAATATGAATATGCTCTGAAAAGCCTAGAATATTTTTATCTTGTCCTTCAAAGCAAAAATTTTCTAACCTTTGGTCTAACACTCTAAATTTTTAAATTAGTGCATGTTTATAATATAAAATGATAACATTAATTTTGAGTAACTGCTACATATATATGATGTATCTTAATCGTTTATAATCTCTTAACCCTTCTCCCTTTCTTTCTGCATTCCCTAGTCCTGTTCCCCATCTCCAAGAGTATACCTATTAATTTTTCATAATCTTTTATTTTATTCATTCATTTATATTTTAGGTTTCTAACATAAGAGAAAGCATGTGATATTAACTTTCAGTGTCCGGTTTACTTCACTTAGCATGCATGGTCTCAAATTTCCAAATTACATCCATTTTCTTGCAAATGACATGACTTCATTCTTTATATATATTTCCAGAGCTTAGTTACTTGGAATTGTAATGTCATAAACATGGGCATGCAATTATCACTATAGTAGTATGATGTTTTTAGTTGGGGGGGGAGATAAGCCCAAGAGAAACATAGCTAGTCAAATAATGTTTCTATTTTTAGTTTTCTGAGGTATTTCCATGGTGGTCATAGTGGTTTATATTTTAAGTAACAATGTAGAAGGGTTCTTTCATCCCTACTTTTTTATTTTTCAGAACCGGGGATTGAACTCAGGCCCTTGCACTTGCCAGGGAAGCACTTATTCTACTGAGCCATCTCCCTGGCTTTCCTACATTCTTTTTTTGGGGGGGTGGGGGGCACTGGGGATCAAACTCGGGATCTTGTGCTTGCCACACAGGTGCTTGTGTTGCTGAGGTATCTCCTTACCACCCCCATCCTTACAAGCATTCACTGTTGGTGTGTATATTTTCTTGATGATGCCTACTCTGACTAGGTTAAGATAGAACCTCAGTACTGTTTGCTTTTTTTGTGTTTTCCTAATGATTAAAAATTATTAACCGTTTTCATGTACTTATTAGCTATTTGTACTTTTTTGAGAAACATCTATTCAGCTCATTTGTCAATTTTGATTGAGTCATTTATTTCTGGGGGCTAAGTTTTTTGAGTTCTATATATTTTCTAGACGTTAGTCCTCTATCAGAACAGTAGATGGAAAATATTTTCCTGTTCTGTAGGTTGTCTCTTCTCTCTGTTGTTTCTTTTGCTATACCCCAGCTTTGTAATTGGATATAATCCCATTTGTTACTTGATTTTCTTTGCTGTGCTATTATATTCTGTACAGGGAGATTTTTCCTGTGCTTATGGCTTCAAGTGTTTCTCCTATAGCTTTTTTCCAGAAGTTACAAAGTTTTCATTTTTATATCTAAGTCTGATCCATTTTTATCTGATTTTGGTACAGGGTGAGAGATATGTATATACTTTCAAACTTCTGCATGTGACTATTCAATTTTCCCAGCACCATTTGATAAAGAGACCACCTTTTCTCCAGTGTATATATATTTTTAAATTTATTTTGTCCAATCTTTATTTTGTGAATCTTTTTCTTTGTAAAAAAATACTTTTTAAATGAACATACATACAAATTTATTGTTTACTTATTGTCATGTCCTTCTCTTTTTTCATTTTTTAACAATTTCTTAGTAGAATGTATTTGCACAATTACATTCACTGTGGGGAGTTGGTATCTGTACATAACATATATTAATTCTTTATTTAATCCCTTCCTTTTCCCTCACCTTCCTTCTCTCTGTCTTTTTCATATGAAATAATCCAATTTGTCTACGTTTTACTTTTGTTGCTCAAACCTTCGAGTTGAAGTCCAAAAGAAATCATTGCTCAGAACAATGTTGTGTAACTTTTCTCCCCAAACTTTATAATTTCAGGTCTTATGTTTTTTTGCCATAATTTTATTGATAAACAAATAGCAATGAGACAGTTTCAAATCAAATCGGTAGGGCAGTTTCAATAATTAACACACTGCATACATTCTTCTTAGTGGTTAATTGCTGTACAAGATGTGGACTTGATATCCGATTTGCAAACACCGTTAGAACAAATCATTCTATTCATTAAGAGAATGTAACTATATATCTATTCTAACCACTTTGAATACACAGATACAAAATGGACATTCATCTATATCCCCTTTTTTTGTTATGTTCCATTATTTGAATATTATAGGTGTGTAAACGCAGCAAAATATTCTAAAAGAGTCCAGTAGCTGATAATAGTATTGGGTCTTCCACTTAACTAGTGTATATTTTTGGCTCCTTTGTCAACAATCAGTTGGCTGTAAGTGCATGTGTGTTTTCTGTACCTTTGGTTCTATCCCATTGTTCTAGATATCTGGCTCTTTGTTGTTTCAGTACCATGTTGTATTTGTTATTATAGCTTTGTAGTATAGCTTGATATCTGGTATTTTGATACTTTCAGCTTACTCTTTTTGCTCATGATTGCTTTCACTATTATAGATCTTACCAGATTCTGTAAGAATTTTAGGATTTTTTTCTAGTTCTGTGAAGGTTATTGGTATTTTAATAAGCATTGCATTCATCTAATACATTGCTTTTGTCAATTTTGAAATTTTTACAGTATTAGTTCTTCTGACCCAAGAAAAAGGGATACCTATTCATTTTCTAAAGTTGTCTTCAATTTCTTTCATCAGAGTTGCATAATTTTCAATATAGAGCTCTATGATCTACTTTGTTAGGTTGATTTCTACATATCCAATTTCTTTTTGAAGCAATAGTGAATGACATTATTTTACAGATTTTCTTCTCAGTGGATTCATTATTGGTGCAAAGAATGAAATTCATTTTTGCGTTGGAGTGTGTGTGTATGTGTGTTTTTTTATCCTGCCATTTTGTTGAATTTATTTATCAGAACTAAGAGTATCCTGGTGGAGATTTTTCAATTTTTCTTGCAGAGAATCATATCCTCTGCAAGTAGCTTCTTTTCCATAGATTTTATATTCCTTCATTGTTCTGAGTTTCTGGCATTTTTGGCTACAATGTGTCATGGGGAAGTACTTGTCATATACAATTGTGATTCGAAATGCCTTCTCTGGGTGCAATAGACATTGGGAAAAGGAAACTAACCTATTCAAAAGGAAGGAATTACTGAGTTGAGGAGGACAGGAGAGGTAGCGAGGGAAAGAGATATATCTGTATATTTAAGCAGGATGGTTTGAACAACTGCACTGTGGATTTATGCTGCTCTGTGGAAAGCAGTTAATGCTTAATTTGTTTTGTCTCCTTTTTTAAATTCTTTGCCCTTTTTCTCTTCTTAATTTCTTATATATTTCTTTCTTCTTCCAATTTTACATGCATATATCTGGTAATATGAACTAGTTTCAAGTCACTTGCATTACAACAAATACTGTGAAATTCGTATTATCCTGTTAAGTGAAATTCTATATCACTTATAATTTTTTGATTTTAATACTATTTTGTACTCTTTAAAAAATTTAAAAAATGCCTCCTTTATCTGAGTATCCATTTCATTTCCCAGATTTAGAAAACTTTTGGTAATAATTTCAAGGAATAGATCTTTTATGCTATTATTCCATTAGTCTCAATGCTGAGACAGTCCTGGTTTAAGTTTGTTATTTTACAGTTGTCTAAACTTTTTATAGTTGTATAATGTACAGTTCTATAGTCTATACATCATTTTTTTTATTCTTACTGCCTGATTTCTAATATAGCCCCTTGTCTTCAAGGTGACATCCTGACATCCTCTCTTCTGATTCATTTTGCATACTGCTGAGGTTTTCTATTGAACTTTTAATTTAACTTGCTAAGACTTTCATTTCTAGGATTTCTTCTTGGTTTCTCTTAGCCCCTCTTAACTGTTTTATGGACAAGTCTTTCAAAGTTGCATTGTCGTGCTTAATCCATCAACTGCTTATTTGTCTTTCATCTCATCAATCATTTTAACTATCAGTGCTTAAAAATTATTTGTCTTAAATTTTATCCATTTAAAAACCTGTGAGATCAGCTTATTAGAGTTAGGAATTTTGGAGGGGCCTGCCTATTAGCTCAGTCGTTTAAGTGCCTGCTTAAACAAAGCAAACAGGATGCTGTGGTTTGATTCCACAATCCTCAAGCCTTACCAGACCTGCCCTGAAGGCATACTGAGCCAGCAAGGGAGGGGGACACTTCTGAACTTTTGGTCAAGCAATGGCCATGACTCATCCACATGGCTGACAATGACAAAGGATGTGCAAACTGCGGTACAGAGTTACAGCTTAAATCCTGAGGGTACTTGACTGACCTTATCAGATACAAAAGTTACATTTCTTGTTATATAGGACTTGCTTTATCTTGGTTTTAACAATCCAGCAGAAAAGTATAAAAACG